TGTAATTTTTACTCAAAAACCACATAAAAGGTCAAAACGGATAATTTTGCAGTGTCTCTTAATATGCATTTTAATCTCCTAAACCAAACATCAGCCTTTTTGTGTTTTGTGCATTTTATTTAAAATAAAAATACAATTCAGACACATAAGCCAGCCTACATTAAAAACACTCTATACATATGAAAAATTAAAAGCTAATAAAATATTCAGCACACTTTTATTCAAAACAGCTTAAAGTCAAAACACTTTAATTTATAACTCATAGCAGCTTTACAGTGATAATAAGAAATTATGGTTTTACAGCAGCTCTAGAATAAACATGAGGTATGTGAAATTATTTTAGAAGTTGTTGCCTTCTAGACTGAGAAAGACAACAACTCCCAGAATGACGATTTTTTGCGTCATCTGAGGTTTTTTTTCAAAATACACAATACAGAAATCTCTCTCTCAGGGGGACATGATGAAGGAGGGAAACAAGTCATTCGAAAATACTTCCGGCTGATAGTGATACAAAGCTTAATGCTAATCAGTGAAGCCTTTAACGCAACGACTGAGGTAATGACGGCACATTTTACATCTTTCTCTCTTCAAACATATACTGTAGTCTCACATTCAAAAACCTTCAGAAAAAAACAGTACATTCATGAATTTAGTGCAAATGTTATGTGCAAAATACTTCTGTAAACTTCAGTGTGTAACGTCACAGTAGTCAGTGAGTCCTGGATCATTTTAATCCTCTGATGTTTCAACGTTTTCATCTGCCTGAAACAACAACAACAGCGAACAAAATTGTTACACATATTACAAATATTAAGTGTTCTTGATCCTTTGAAATGTTTCAAGAAACTGTAAAATGTGAAAAGTTTGAAGCATCATTTTTCTGGTAGGGTTAGGGTTAAGTTAATTGATTAATTGTTCTTATTAAATAGAGGTGACCCATAAACAGACATTAGAAACAATTGAAGGCAAAGAAAGAAAGAAAGAAAGAAAGAAAGGTTGTGTGTGTCTACCTGTGTGTGGAGAGGATGATTATTACTCAGTGTTTCTAGCACAAAAGTATTCTCTCCTGCCATTGCTTTCTGACCTGGAAAAGGTAAATCAGATTATACACAAACTTGAGCTTAAGGTTAAACTGCCCATTCGTTGTCTTTAACACATTAAATTTTTTTTTTTTTTTAAACAATGAGATTACAACAAAGACATTTAAAGGCACACTAAGTAATTTTTGGCCACTAGAGGTGGTTTATTCAAAACAAAGACATAGCTTGATAATACCGCATGGTTTATATTTCAGGTTTACCGTAAAACTTCAAATAAAAGCCGAGTCCCAAATAGACACCTGTTTCTTTTACACGCCTGGTGTGGCGACAGGTTTGGATAAATAAAGGCCGGTCTCAAATAGAGGCCTGGTCTGTTTTAGTTTTGGGTTGTGTTTAATCTTCTAAAACCCGTCAGATCGTCTGTTTAAGCCAGTTCTATGGTGCAGATTGCGCACGCAAGAGAGCCCTGCGCATCTGGGCGGAGCTGTTAGCACAAGAAAGGCAGCCAGAGTTAGCGGAGGTCGGAGAGGGAGAAGTGGAGGAGAGCGACGAGGAGGAGGAGAAGGAGAAGTGGAGGAGAGTGACGAGGAGGAGGAGAAGGAGAAGTGGAGGAGAGCGACGAGGAGGAGAAGTGGAGGAGAGCGACGAGGAGGAGAAGTGGAGGAGAGCGTGGAGGAGGAGAAGTGGAGGAGGAGAAGTGGAGGAGAGCGACGAGGAGGAGAAGTGGAGGAGAGCGACGAGGAGGAGAAGTGGAGGAGAGCGACGAGGAGGAGAAGTGGAGGAGAGCGACGAGGAGGAGAAGTGGAGGAGAGCGACGAGGAGAAGTGGAGGAGGAGAAGTGGAGGAGAGCGACGAGGAGGAGAAGTGGAGGAGAGCGACGAGGAGGAGAAGTGGAGGAGGAGAAGTGGAGGAGGAGAAGTGGAGGAGGAGAAGTGGAGGAGGAGAAGTGGAGGAGGAGAAGTGGAGGAGGAGAAGTGGAGGAGGAGAAGTGGAGGAGGAGAAGTGGAGGAGAGCGACGAGGAGGAGAAGTGGAGGAGAGCGACGAGGAGGAGAAGTGGAGGAGGAGAAGTGGAGGAGAGCGACGAGGAGGAGAAGTGGAGGAGAGCGACGAGGAGGAGAAGTGGAGGAGGAGAAGTGGAGGAGAGCGACGAGGAGGAGAAGTGGAGGAGAGCGACGAGGAGGAGAAGTGGAGGAGGAGAAGTGGAGGAGGAGAAGTGGAGGAGGAGAAGTGGAGGAGAGCGACGAGGAGGAGAAGTGGAGGAGGAGAAGTGGAGGAGGAGAAGTGGAGGAGAGCGACGAGGAGGAGAAGTGGAGGAGAGCGACGAGGAGGAATTTGCCTATGAACTTGTAGTTGAGGATCGGTGATGATGATAGTGATGAATAGGCTCATTTTGTATCACATGATTGCAGTTGTTTTACAGGGTAGCCTTCATTCTTTCTTGTTGATGTGTTTCGGGCAACAAGTTCATAGGCTCGATGGATATTACCGGTAACTTGTATTGTTCAGCCCATGGCTGTCACATCATTTCATTTTTTTATGCTGCCAATAATCTAAAGGGGGTCGAGAAGCACAACACCGCGACTTGAAGTTTCGCACACCGGACGAAAAGCGCCGCGTCTATGACAACTCGAGGTATCGCACACCGGACGTCCACTTTGTCAGTTTATTGCCAGCAATATTGTTATGTTTAAGGACATTATGGAACTAAGATCATGTCTGTACTATGTTATGATTGTACTGTACAATTAAATACAATCGTCTTAGTCTGCAGTCTGAACACACTTTTTTCTCAGAGCGTCCGTTAACTGAATGAATTGAGAATATCACCTGAAAATCTGATAACATCAGCAATTTTCATTCAACCAGCTGATTTATGTAAATGAAGGTAAAACTAAATGTATATCAGAGCACATGGTGAAGTCAGTATATACATAACGACGATTTGAGACACATAAATGTAAATCGAATATAAGTAAATGGCGCTGTGGCGCGGCAGGATTTTGAACAGGGTCCTGAGCCGTTGCCGCCGCTGCGCTTCTCGTCCGGTGTGCGACCCCCTTTAGACATACGGTAATATAGTAGGCTAATTCTTACATTAACTGATTTGTTAAACACATTCGAATTATAAATACAATGTAATATATATGGTAACCTCCGACTGTCATGCTTTCCGTCTAGCCGCCTCTGCTGTTTGGATCGTTATCTCTAGTTCTACACTCAATGAACAACATCTCAACACTAAATTAAAGGCCTGTCTCAAATACAAGCCGGTGCAGATCGGCGATTTGGGAAAATAAAAGCCCGGGCTATTATCTAAAGTTTTACAGTATAGACACCCACCAAACAAGAGAAAGCGCATCTCAAACCGCGTTGCACACCGTTTCCAGGAAACGTCCGTCAACCCAGAAACCTTGGCAAAACGTTGCGCACCGGCTGGAGCTGGAACGAGCCCCAGACCTGTGTTGGTGTTGGCTTGACTGTGTGCAACATCTTCAACCCCAGACATGGTGTTGTGTTGAAGCAAGTAGTTGTTGGTGTTGTGTATTTTAACCTCACTTGTGTTAAACTTATTGAAAGAGAGTTTCTCTCTTTTGTCTTTCTGATTACACTCTATGATTGAGATTTAAAGGCAGAAGTGAGTGTTAACTTCTATGATCATTCATTGTATGGTTTAATTCATCTGTTTTGCTTTTGGTTTATTTGAATTTGCTTGTTAATCATTTATTTCTTTATTTGTGGGGTAAGTGGGGAGGTGGGTGCCATTTGTTTTTGAACTAGGCTTTTTCTCCTGTTTAACTCACCATTTGACCTTCTCCTTTTATAGATGCAGTGACCAATCACAAACACAGCGAGAACTAGAGCTGGAACAGCAGCTGCTGCTTTAACCATCCACAGAGATTCTGTTTCACAGTCAATACAGGTTCTGTCTGCAGAATTAAAGGGGGGAAAACGAACAAAAAAAAAACGTAATTGTTTTTAGCAAGAAACTACTTCAGCATCATCATGATATTATATTTGTATAGGGCACTGAAATGTATATTTACCCCAGTTTACTGTAACTGGTTCTGTCAGACTGCTGTGAGTGACCTGACAGTCATAAGATCCTTCATGGTTTCTGTCGATCTTCACACTGATTCTCTTCTGAAAGGTTTCATCAGCATTTGGTCTGATTCCAGAAGATGTTTGATCCTCAAGATTAATTCTGTTCAATCTAATGTACATCTGAACATCTCTGGGGTAGAAACCAGTGGCCAGACAGACCAGAACCAGCTTACTGTCATCATCTGGAGATTTACTCACAGAGACACAGACATCTGGAGAACCTGGAGCAGACAATGAAAACACAACTATACTAATAAGATCTTAGTTCTGCGTGTAAAAAATATGCAGTATATTCTTCATATTCATTAAAAAAAAATACATTTTCTGTGAGTAAATCATCACAGTTTAATAAGTATAGAGAAAACCTTAGTATATATGAACAGAGCCTTCAAAGATTTTCTATACATTTATATTTTAGACTGAATTGAAAGTGTTTCATAATGACACACACACACACACACACACACACATACATAGTGAGATAATTTAACTGATCTGATCAGAACTTACTTTTATTTGAGTTGTTAAAGATGGAGATCCAGTTCACACAGTTTTTGAGGTAATATTTGAGGTATTGGTTGTGTCCAGTTTGACGATCCCATTCCTCTTTTGTTTCTTTGTCTTTGGGGGTTTTATGAATCCACTGCATAGTGTCATAATTAAAGGATATAAGATCTTCTCCATCAAATCCATAATCATCAAAGACAGTCAGATTCACGGATCCATCAGGAAGTTTCTCCAGTTCACAGCCAATTATTCTCTGAAGAACATGATCTACAATCACAGATCAACACTCATGAGAAACTCACAGTAAATATAATGTCTGATCATTAATAAGAGTAAAGCATGAATCTCACCAGAACACAGTGAGTCTGTGCAGTCTGACAGAGTCCTGATCTGATGTATGAACCAGTCTCTAGAATCAGGAGGATCTTCAGGAGCTTCAGTCCAGTCTTTATCAGTCAGAATCCAGACTCGTTCTTCATTACTGAAGTGTTTGATCCGTCTGTCGTCATAAACACACACAGCACTGAACTCTGGGAATGAGTCTGATCTGGTCAGGACTGTAAACTTATAGTGGAGGAAGTGTTTCTCTGAGGAACATGTGAAACACAAACAACATCACATAAAAACCATAGACAGTATAAGAAATGGACAGAGCCATCTCATTGGAACTCAGTTGAGACAGTTGAAGCCCATTTTTAGCGATTTCTGAGCACTTCCGTTCCTGACGCGCAGACTCAAACCGACTCAAACTAAGCTTGATGACGTGAGCAACCTGTCTGACAGACGTTACTCTTCTAGTAGCTGTGCGTGAAAACTGCCAACGTTAATCTCGCAGAGACGGGGAACTTGAGCAAAGAGTTCTTTGGCGTGAGTGAGCAGGAGTAAGTATTCCGTTGCTTTTATGGACTCATTATCTATGGGCTTCTCCCTTGACGGGACGTCCCCCCGATTGACTGCGAGCTTCTCCTCCTGTCTGTACGGTCATTTCTGTACAGCGCGACAGAGAGTCGAGTGGTTATGACGCAATCGTTAGCCTATTTTTACTAAAACTGCTTCTACGGGGCCATAATGTAACATAGAAGGTAATGGAGCACTTTATACATTGTCGTGTTTCTTTAGAAATAAATAATGGACAAATGGAGTCTTTAAACGCCTCAGATGTAAAGTTATTCGCTGTCAAAGTGACGCCAAAATGAATGGGAGTCAATGGAAATGCTAACGCAAGTGAAGTTCTGCTACAACATGGCGGCACCCGGCCGGCTTCAACTTCCGGTCGATGGATTACCCCCTTGATGAAAACACTTCATGCAATCCAGTAAAGGAATACATTACACCAGTGATTAGATGTTTTAAAGTCAGCATGAAATTAACATGGACACGAGGGCGGGGCTACCTGTCACTCACATGAGATCCACCAATAGCAAACCACCACCATCCAATCAATTCCACACGAAAAATAAATATATTTTTTTACATTTGTTTGCTCTAACTGTTGCTCTGGTCTTCGTCAACAACACGCGCGTGCACCCCCTGCTGGTGAGGTCGACTAACAGCAGATGGAGAGTATGCTCGGTAATCTACTGCTTTTAAATGTCGAATTTGAACCACTGAATTTGTGGAAGCGAATTTGCAAAGCGAAATAAAATGGGACCGAACATTGCCTGTTGAATATCATAGGTTGTATTTTTAAACAGTTTGAATATTTTGGAAGTGAAATATGAAAGGTGAATATGGATTATTGAATTTTTAATAATGAAAATGTGTTTGAAAAGTTTTGAATTGAAATATTCACAGCTTAAATATTCAACCATGCTGAATTTCAGCCCATAAAAATGCAAGCCCTAAAAATAAACTTCCATAACTGTCTGTCTTGCCTGAACATTCTTCACTCCTCCCCTCATCCCTCGCCTACATGTCAGTCGAGGCCTGGCGCGGGGCACATCTCAAAAGGAGCCAAACAATACACGCTACGGCAAGTTTAGCTTTAAGAGAAATTCCGCGGCGCACTCGACAGCCGCTTTTTTTTCCAATATTATCATATGTAACATTACTAGTATAACTACTGCCTGGGAACCTCTGGTGTTTCCCACGTGAGGCATTTCTCCAAAACAAAAGCTGATAATTATGGGGGGGAGTGTCGTGCTGTTTGTTCCCTGTGTGCATTCCTAGCTAGTGCTGTCGCTCTAATGTTATTGGTAGACTGCACATCTGGCCATATCTATAGAAAGTACCATCACAAGTTCTAATTTGACGAGGAATTGGGCTTAAAAGATTTAAAAGTAATATTATGCTGTTGGAGAGTGTTATATTAACCACAGTGTTCAGTGCATTTAACCCTTGTGTGGTGATCATATTTTTGTTATTCAGCCAGTGTTCGTGGGTCTGGTGGACCCGCTGCATTTTGGGTTTTTTAATTCAACACAATCAAACAATTTTATGTTAAAATACTCAACAGATGTTTACTTCATCCCAATTACAAGCAATATAAACAGCATATATGGTTAATATTTTCTCTTTACCTTTGTTAGATCACATTTAAGAATTAAAGTGCTACTCGTTTTTTTGTTTATTTTTTTACTAAAATGACAAAAAAAGAAAATAAATTATAATCAAGATGTGAGTGGAAAAATTCAACAAATTTACAAATGAAGCAAGGTTTTTCATAACTATTGACTTTTATTTATTTGAACTTCATTAGAAATTTAACCCATTCAGACTCTGAATTGTCAGAAATGTGATCTTCACATTCTGAAACCTCTTCGTGTACATCATCAAAATCTTCTGTCTCTTCCAAAATCAATTGCAAGGCCCTCTGAGCAGCGAATCTTTTGGCCATCTTGATCAGTTGTGATAAGAAACCACACTGGCAAAGCTATATTTATTGTGTCTCGCCCCCAATTTAGAGAAAATAAATATTGGTTCCCACAAGACAGAGGGTAAAATGTGCGGGAATGTGTTGGTGCGGGAATGTGAGAGCAGACGGTCAAATTTAGAGATGGTCCTCACTGCAGAACATGAAATCCACGGGGAGGAGTCGGATCCAGATCCAACTCCTCCCACCTTACATATACCTAAACCTACCCATCTCCGCCCCCTGATCCCTAAACCCGCCCCTAATCCCTAAACCCACCCCTAATCCTACCCATCTCCACCCCTTGGATCTTGATCCGACTCCTCCCCGTGGATCTCATGTACTGCATTGAGGTGCTACTGCAAATTTAACGCGCCCTCTGATGCGGCCGAGAAACAATGCCGCGAAATGGGCAGAAAATGTATTAGGCGGCTCATTGTGCATTGTGTAAAGTGCCAAGTTCAAAGACTCATAAAAATAATATTCTACAGTAAAAATTGCTCAAAATTTGGATTTCGTTAGAGGAGTAGCTCTATTATAATGGGAAAATGTCCAATTTAACGCACCCTCTGAGGCGGCCGTGAAACAACGCCGCGAAATGGGCAGAAAATGTATTAGGCGGCTTATTGTGCACTGTAAAATGCCAAATTCAAAGATTCATAAAAATAATATTCTACAGCAAAAACTGCTCAAAATCTGGATTCCATTAGAGGAACAGCACTACTATAAGGGGATAATGTCAAATTTAACGCACCCTCTGAGGCTGACGAGAAACAGCGCCGCGAAATGAGCAGAAAATGCAATAGGCGGCCTATTGTGCACTGTAAAATGCAAAATTCCATAGAAAAATAATTCTACAGTAAAAACTGCTCAAAATGTGGATTTCATCAGAGGAACAGCTGTCCTATAAGAGGATAATGTCAAATTTAACGCACCCTCTGAGGCGGCCGAGAAACAGCGCCATGAAATGGGCAGAAAATGTATTAGGTGGCTCATTGTGCATTGTGTAAAGTGCCAAGTTCAAAGACTCATAAATAAATACTCTACAGTAAAAACTGCTCAAAATTTGGATTTCGTTAGAGGAGTAGCTCTATTATAATGGGACAATGTCCAATTTAACGCACCCTCTGAGGCGGCCGTGAAACAGCGCCGCGAAATGGGCAGAAAATGTATTAGGCGGCTTATTGTGCAATGTAAAATGCAAAATTCAAAGATTCATAAAAATAATATTCTACAGTAAAAACTGCTCAAAATCTGGATTCCATCAGAGGAACAGCACTACTATAAGGGGATAATGTCAACGTTAACGCACCCTCTGAGGCTGACGAGAAACAGCGCTGTGAAATGGGCAGAAAATGCATTAGGCGGCTCATTGTGCACTGTAAAATGCAAAATTAAAAAATTCATTAAACATAATTCTACAGTAAAAACTGCTCAAAATCTGGATTTCATTAGAGGAACAGCACTACTATAATGGGATAATGTCAAATTTAACGCACCCTCTGAGGCTGACGAGAAACAGCGCCGCGAAATGGGCAGAAAATGCAATAGGCGGCTCATTGTGCATTGTGTAAAGTGCAAAGTTCAAAGCTTTCCTTTGAGGCAGCCGAGAAACAGCGCCACGAAATGGGCAGAAAATTTATTAGGCCGCTTATTGTGCACTGTAAAATGCAAAATTCAAACATTCATAGAAAAAATATTCTACAGTAAAAACTGCTCAAAATGTGGATTTCATCAGAGGAACAGCTGTCCTATAATAGAATAATGTCCAATTTAACGCACCCTCGGAGGCGGCCGAGAAACAGCGCCATGAAATGGGCAGAAAATGTATTAGGCGGCTCATTGTGCACTGTAAAATGCTAAACTAAAAAATTCACAGAAAAAATATTCTACAGTAAAAACTGCACAAAATCTGGATTTCGTTAGAGGAGTAGCTCTACTATAAAGGGACAATGTCCAATGTAACGCACCCTCTGAGGCGGCCGTAGCCTGGTTAAAACCAGACCATTATCAGTTGTAACTGAGTTATGGTCTGGCAAAGCGTCATAGACAAATCATTTCCAGAGGGGCGTCACCAACGGACGTCGCGGATAGACCTAAACCCAATCAGAGCGATGAAGGAGATGACGTATGCAGAGCGGCGGAGAAACATCTCCGAGTGTTGTTCTTTGCTCAGTTTTTAACAAAAAGGAAACGTTCAAATCGCTTAAAACACACGCGATAGCCGATTCGAAGAGTGATGTTCGACGGCGGCATCCATCTTTGTAATGTAGGCTACAAAATCTGCTTCAAAATCCCAGCGCTGTCGTCATCGTGTAAAGCCCGCCCCAACGTTTCGGATTGGTGCCGCGATTTCGACGTATTGGAAATGGGCTTGAATGAGCTCTTTGCCAGACTAACTTTCAGAGCAAATCTAAATTTGCCGGAAGTTGTCTGGGTTTTCCCAGGCTAAGGCGGCCGTGAAACAGCGCCCTGAAATGGGCAGAAAATGCATTAGGCTATTGTGCACTTGTAAAATGCAAAATAAAAAAATTCATTAAAAAAATATTCTACAGTAAAAACTGCTCAAAATGTGGATTTCATCAGAGGAACAGCTGTCCTATAATAGGATAATGTCCAATTTAACGCCCCCTCTGAGGCGGCCGAAAAACAGCGCCGCGAAATGGGCAGAAAATGCAATAGGCGGCTCATTGTGCATTGTGTAAAGTGCAAAGTTCAAAGCTTCATAAAAACAAAATTCCCC